GACTTCACTTCCAGCCCTGGACACCTTGTTCCAGCCCTTCACATTTCTTTGGACAAAGGGAGAAATCAGGTGGGCAGTGGACAGTGGATGGACACGATGGACACCTTTCCCAGCAGTTACTGCTGCCTCCAAACTCTCCTCCATCCTGGCAGCAGTGGCAGCAGCAGCAACCTTGATCCCTTCAGGCTTTCCACAGCACTCAGAAAGGGCTTGTGTGTCAGCAGCACCCTGCACTTGGCTTGACACCAGTCTTCCTCATTCAAGACAAGCAAAATCTGATTTACACACCTTGCCAAAGAGCATGGAGATTCCCCAAATACAGCTATGATGGTGGGTTGCCGTTTTCCTGGAGGCATCATGTCCAAAAAAATCATTGTAATAATAAAGTAAATTATAATGTTGATTTTTCTTGGAATATTGACTTTTTTTTTTTTTTTTTTAACATGGATACCTATGTAAGCAGAGATTTACAATGTGTAGGAAAATGGCAAAAATATACCTCTATAGCTGTACAAAGGCCTTGCAAAGATGTAGTAAAGAAAACCAGGTTTTTTGTAGACAAAAGCTGCTAGTTCACCCTTTCTTTTAATTTTTTATGTCAGACTGTCATCAAATAAATTGTGATTCAGAAAACAAAAACCCTAACACAGATTGAATAGTCTTCATTAGAACTATTAGAATTATTGGCAGTCCCTGTCTGCTTTACAAAATATTACCTCTATCTTCCAGTTAAATAGCCCGACAAAATTAATTCCAACTACAAAGTTCAGGGGATAACTAGAAAATTATTTTCTTCTCCATGTTTGTATGCTGCACATCACTTTACTGTTAGGACTTTGGCTGCATCAGAATTCAGGGAGAGGAAATTAACATATAGAGACCAAACCAACAAATTTAGCATAGCAAATTCACTCCATAGTTGCCATAGGTCTCAATTTCAGGTCTTGCAGGAGCGAATTTTGGCACTGCTGCCAGTTCTCTGGGTTTCAGTTAATCCTTTCCCCAGCTCTTGCAATTTTTTTTCTGACAGAACAGAGGCTAGTTTTACTTTCAGGTAACTACTGAAACACTTTATTGCAGTGGGTGGAGGTAGCTTAAGCTTGGTTTTGTCTGAGCCAGGCTTTTCTTCTTTATTGGTTTTGTTTACTGCCTGAGTTGGGGCTTATGGATTCAGGCTCTGTTGTGAAGTGTTTTAATTTTCTCTGGGAGAGGGCTTCACTCAGAATCCAGATAATTTAACTGATCTTATTTGTCATTTTTCTGACATTTCACAGGAGATGTTATTACTCAGGGCTTATTTGAAGTTCACCAAAATTATAGATGTGGTTGCCTTCCCTCATCTCTCAAGACTCACTGGGCATACGCAGAGCTCCATGGAAGAGGGTTCTGCTGGAGCAGTTCCTAATCTATCTGCCCCATATCTCCAAAGGCAAACATAAATCAGAAAGGTGAACAATTAATTGTGTGTAACCAATCTTCATAAATACCTACTTGTCCTAAAACAACAGCACTGATGGAAACCCCACCACCTTTGCAGACACTTTGTAGTGCTCAGCTGTCATTCACAACCAGAAAACTCTGTTGTTGTTTACTTACATTCCTAGTGCAACAATTTAAGTATACTCCTCTCTTAACTGTGAATATGGCAAACAGTGCACTCTCTTCACTTCTGCAGACACTTTTCAAGATTTGGAGACTTGCTGGAGACAGTTCAGATTCACACGTGCCCACCTGGTGGAGGAACCTGAGGTAAAAAATTGATCCAATATACAAAGATTCCTTGGCTTTTCCTCCTGGAAGATAAATAGCAACGTGCCTTGGTGTACAGCGATCATTTTTAATGAATCCAGAGGATTAGATAAACTATCCTGAAGAAGCATTGCAAGTAGACTCTATGGCAAGAACATCCATACTTTGTGCCTTTAAATATCCAACTTTTCCTGTCAGTCCTGTGTGCAGCCCAGTCCTTTGTGTCAACAGCTCAGCGCAAGAAGCTCTGTTCGCTTTTGGTCATCAAATGCCTTCATGACATTATTTTTGAGGTGTTTCAACCCAAGGAATCCTGGAGTAATGTGTGTAAATCAACATGCAAGTAGGGTGCTTTCATATTTAATATAGTGACAAACTCAGTGTCAGAAGAGAAATTATTCCTGTGTTTTCTTTGATATTTTTAAGAAATTGATTTTTAATTTTAGTTTGGGTTTGGTGTGAAAAAGAAGATACACTAACTCATTTTATCTTGATTGGATTATTACTATATTTTTCTTTTTTTTCCCCTTTTAAAATAACTCCAGAAAACACCCTTTAAAACTACTATTTTTTAATGAAAAGTAAATTTTTTGAATTCTAATTATGTTTGTCTTCCACTGATATCCCACAAGTAATTGTTCAGAAATTAATCAATCACAGCATCAGTTTAGTAGATTATAGAATTGTGAATAGGTTTCTATTTTTTAAAAAAATTATGTTGGAGTGAACTCTTAGGGTCACTGAGTTTGAAATCTATCACTGACGAAATTTGGCTCAGCTGGAACCTTGTCGGTTTGTATCAATTTTCTATCAGCTTTTGACATTTTATAAAAAGTTATTTATTAAAGAAATCCTCAGCCTATATTCACATAGTCGTTTAAGAATTTAATATGGTAACATAAATTAAAATGCAAGCTTTTTAGTTTTGCTATGGTGGCCTGTGTTTGATTTAATATTTTAAGGAAAAACTAAAACACTGAAGGGAAAAAGCATGACCAAACAAACTAAGGAGTAAAACCACTTTTGAATTACTTTAGTCATATTTCTCAGATTATTTTTTATACACTTCTATCAAAGACTTTTAAAAGAAAAATACAAAAGAGACATCTAGAGTGAATCGATAGCTCATTTTATATATCTGACTACTTTGAATAAATGGTTTCAATTGTAAAAGGATGACTTTATTCATGAATATGATCTTTTGTTATTCTTACCCAAAAATACCATGTCAAGACCACTAGCCATCAGTTGCATGTATCAGTTGTTTCCTGGAGATAGAATTAACTCCTCAGATTTTTTCCATGTAGGAAAAATAATCAATAGATAAAACATTTCTTCTGAGATGCAGAGAATGCAGAGCAGTGTTGTTAAATCCTCAGCAGAGCTTATCCAAATTGATTTTAATGAAATTGAAGTACTTCAGGGATTTTGCTTCATGAGCTTGCTGCCTTTCTTCCTACTACTTTATACTGTGATCTTTTCTAAGAGCAAGATGTTTGCAATTACATGATTTCTTCACAGCACTATAGGAAAACATACATGTCAAAGAGAGGGACAATGTTACATAGTAATGATTGGAGAGAATGGGATTGTGTTTAAATTGTCTTAGGACAATTCTGCACCAGGCTCTTACATACACATTTCCTTATAAAAATTCTGAAGGAAAATTTTAATGTTGAAATTTTTGCTACATTAGGTTACAGAAAAGAAACCAGCAAATGTTCATTAAAACACTATGGAAAACTTAATGTAGTATCATGTAAATTCATGTAACATGAATCAACCAATACTAAACTAACTCATGGCCATTTGCAGACTCATATAGCTTTATTTTGTATTTATTAGTCATCACTAAAATAGAAAGCTTTCATGTCAAAAATTGTGTAATAAATTACATATTTTCTTCAACAGTTTGGCTGTATTTAAGGAAAGTAGAGAACAATGTACTATTGGCAAAGACTTAAAATGAAGCTGAAATTCTCTCAAGGCATTCTACATAGTCAGAAAAATTGCATTCATAAGTTTCTCTCCATAAAACCCATGCACACAACCTTGACCATCATAAACTTCAGGAAAGGAGACTGTACACCAGCAGAACTTATCCCTGTGATGCCTAAAGACATGGACAGAGATGCATCATTGCCAGTGATGTGTTGAGCCACCTGAAGCTGTTCCACAGGTTTGTTCTAACAGTCAAAATTTACCCAAGACCATATTTTTCTGGATATATTGAAGAGCAGGTAGCTTCTCAGTGTTGAAGACATGATCAAAAAAAAATGTATTTATCACTCAATATCTGTTTATCATTATCTCTGTACTTAGCTGTTTCTTGGAAATGAAATACAGGTATTTAAACCATTAGAAGTTCTAAAAAGGCAATAATTGTTAGAAGCTTGACCTCAGTGAAAAATTATTTAGTCTTAATTCTGTTCACCTGCAAAGGCAATCCAGTTAAAATAGACTTGTTGAGCATATGATCTGTGATCTGGGGCTGCCTCCTGAAAACTTTCTTGTGTTTCTTCCAATTTCAAATAATTCTGGTTTAATACAAAGAATTACCATATAAAATTATTAATATTGTTACTCTAATTAAAAAAAAAAACACAAAAAAACAACAAAACCCAGCTTCTTCTTCTCGAGCCTTTAGAGGAGACTTTTTGTTATATTGATTATGGAAATATTTTTAGAAATCTAAAGTAATGTTATAACTGACTGGATATCTTCTCAAAAGAGGGATGTATCTACTGAGATTTGATCTAGAAATCCTCCCATGCTGTTTTGTGATATGCTGGTCATCAAGAGAAAATGCACATCTACACCTGAGTTTGGGGAAAGGAATGCCAGCTAAGAGAAAGTATGACATCCAGATTATTGGAGAATTTTACCTGAGTAAAGAGATCTATTAAAAGCCGCTTACCTGAATTTTTGTATTTAAGCGTTTTATTTGGATTATTAGCATGGGTGTTCTGGGATATTAATCTACTGGTTAATTTCATTTTCTGTTTCTCTCTTTTCAAACCCCAAAATAAATTGAGGGGGGGAAAAGAATAATCATTATAGACTTTTCATATATTTTTTTAGCTCATGAAGGATATTATCTAGATTACACATGTAGAGTACACAAAGCTTTTTACTTTAATAAACTGATGGTTTCTTAATTGTTATTGGAGCAAGAAATGCTAATGAAATCAGTCTTGTGGGTTTTATTTTGCAGTTGCAAAGGAGGCAACACCTCTGCCTGGTACTCACCAGAGGGAGCCCTAGAAGCTGCACAGACAAACGATGTGGAAAAGTGACAAAGCAGAAATAGCTCTGGGGAAAAAAAAATTGACAAAGAAAAACTTTAAAAACACAGACTTTCTGTTCCTATGCTCAAAGCTTTTACACAAGCTGATGTTTCCATCTATTTCAGTAATAAAGTCTGCACGGCTGAATGGTTTCCTGACTGAAATCTTTCCAGAGAACAATGAGGACTAAATGATGCATCTGTATTTCTTTAAACCACATCTAGAGATTATTTTTTTTTAAATCAGTAGTTAGCGAGGATTTGCGTACACAGTAGCTGAAGTGCTTTTTATTTTTTTTTTTAAAAAAAGAAAAAATTGAAAAAAAAAATTGCCCTAACTTCTCCTAAGGGCTGTCTTTAATTCAAAACAAATAAAGACATTAGATTTGAAGACTCAGAAATGTGTTTTCTACTTTCAGTACTTCAGAATTCTCTAATATCACTGTGATAACTGGAAAAACGGAGGTATCACAGCTGTATAAATGAAATTAGAACTCTCATATTCTTTCTGAATATAGTTTTCAAGATTAACAATGGTTGAATATCAAAACCAATTCATGTACCAAATGGCATAACTGCAAAAAGTTTTAGTTCAGACATGTCCTTCTCATTAATTTCGTTACTTGAATTGTGGAATAAAGACTACGCTCAATGAATTTGCAGATGCTGTTGTTGTCAACACATTCAAGCACAAGCTTAGAAATCAAAAAGATCTGACAAAAACTGACCAATGCCACTCCATTTGTGGCAGAACAATGTCTACTCTCATTCGGGTGAGGAAAAACAGGTGAGGCAGAGGGGCTGTAGAAAAAGATCTCATAGGGGATTTTAGGCTGGACCATGGCTGAACAACATGATATTATTACAAAAAAGGCAAATGCACACTGGGAAATAAAAATAAAAATCTCCTGAAATTCTTGGCTCAAACAAAAAAAGAAATTATTTAATTTTACAGTGCATTTTGTGAAGTACTGAAAATCTAGTTACTAGAAGTTAATTACTGGGAGCCTACTAGTTGATTGATTTAATGGGAAATGGAAGTCGCTTTATATTGCTGGGGTCACTTACATTTAAAATAAAGTTTGGGTAACCAGTTTTAAGTGACTGCTAATAGTGAAATGTTTACCAGAACAAAGATAAAAATAATGTGGCTTTTGAAAGCACTTAAATAAAAGACCAGTACTAAATTTGGAATCTGAAGTCTGAAGTTTTTATCAGTGTATGTGGATGCCTGTGTTTTGAAAAGTTAGGACCTGAATGTGCTTGATGGGCTATACATTTCTAAATATAAATGGCAGTGAACCACTATATTATCTTAGCCTTTTCTCATAGTAATAGATGAAATATGGGATTATAATTGGAATTAATGTTCCTTATAAGAGGTGATTTCTTAAGATGATGGTCTAAAGAGTTCATTATCATCATTGGCAGGTCCAGACTCTTGTGTGGAAGGGCATGGGTTCACTTTCCAGCAAGATGAGTTTTAACACCATTTCATAAAATTAGTGCTGGCCCTTTCTGTATTTTTAAACAGTATAAAGTGAATAAAATTTTTAACTTCAAATATTTGTAAGGAAATATGACAACGCTTTAACTTTCTTACTGCACTATCACTAATGGTGGAAGTTGTACAAAAATATTTTTGTTTTTCTTGTTTCCATAATTTGTGGTTGCATTGTGGATGTGGTATTAAATAATCTTTTAATTGCATGGTAGCTCATGCAATGAAATCAGTAATCAAGACAATTGAAGAATTTGAATATAATATTATTTAACATCAGATAAAGTGCTATTTAATTGTAGATGTAGCTAGTTCAGTGAAAATACCTCACAAGAACATCAAATGCCTAATGAATGGATGGATATGCTGGCCTTTTGATTGCTACTCATTAGCTGGACTTCATAATACTTGCATGGGGAAAATAATCAGCAGAATTATACTTGCTTCCTCTCAGAGGTAAAAGTTGGCTGTTTTGTGGTACCTTATCCTCAGTCCCCAACATCTGATTCAATGCTCACACCTTATCCTCTGAAATGTGCTGTGAAAGTACAGTAAAAGGCGTAACTCGTGTGGTATTTTTTCTGGCAATTTCATTAAGTGATAGTGGATATTGAATAATGAGTAATATGCTGAAACAAGCCTAAAAAATTGTGGGTAGGAACGCAGCTTCTGTTTGCTAAGCCTCCCACTCTCTGTGTAATGGTACAGACTCTCTGATTCACAAGTTGTTTCACAATGTGACAAGATCCAGCCATGAAGGATGGCAGATTGTCACAGGAGCAGAAGGGAATCAGTGTTTCTCTGCCATTGGAGCTTCTGCACTTCCACTAAAAAATTGGAGGAAATGGTAGAAATTCTCTTTGTTTCAAGTTGCTGTTTCTGACTAGATTTTTAAACTGGACAGAAAATAAAAAGGCAGCCTATGTTACATTTTAGCATTATAGATTGATTCTTCATCTATGATTATATTTGTAAATCAAGAAAAAAAAGAAACCAGAAATCTCTGGGAAAAGTTTACAGCTGCAAGACTGGGTATGAGAGCTGTAGACTCAGTTCTTTCCATGGCCATTTTTAATGCTATATACTGAGCAAGAAATCAGATTTAATTTTTTCTCCCTCCCTTGTCAATAGTAAGTTCCATGGGAGCTTTTCAGTTGCCCAGGTACTTTACCGGCCTGAGATGTATGAATACCTAATGCAAAACCGGTCTCAAAATAATTTTCCTGTCTGGATCTGATGGCCACAGGTGAAGTGAACTGTGTCTCCCTTTGCTCAAGTTTGTGTCTTACCATTACTCTAAAAACAACCCAGCAACAAGAATCGTTTTCTTATCTGTTCCCACAAAGTGAAAGTGAGTCAATTAGTGATGAGAATAGAATCCCTGTGCTCCAATTCAGACATGCAGCTGTTTGATCTTCCTAAACAGCAGCCCCTAAATGGCAATTCAGAAAATTCTTCCGGGGTTTATGTGTCCCAAGCCAGTAAAAAATCCTTCTACTTTAAATTAATCTCAATATTCCTAACATTTTGACAAATGTCCATGATCAAACAATATCTTATTATTTCATACTTGTATTTAAGGGAAATGCAAAAACTCAGTTGCTGCTAAGACAACCATATGGAAAATACTTGTAAGTAGCTATATGGCTTCTACAGGTAGGAGTTTTATAGGATACCTTACTGATTTTTTAGGACTAGCAGAATAGCTAATCGTGCTTAAGTGGTAGTACCACCAAAACTTAGAATAGCATTTTTTTAAAGTGTTCCCAGATCTAAAGCCAGATAACCAGTTGTTAAGATCAAAAGGTCTTAATTCTCTTTTTTCTTCCCTTCCTAAAAATTTACTATAAATAGGATGTTACTGCTACCATAAAAGAGAAAAAAATTCCTTTCAATCAGTACACTTATATCACTAAGGACAGTTAAACCACTGGAACTGGATTTCTTATCTGCTTGGGAAGATTTATAAAAGAGCACTTGCTACTTTCCATGACTGGAAAAGCAAGAGCATTACATCCCACTTCACAGATGAAGATTGGGCTGAGGTCAATTCTTGCAGCAGAGAGCATTAGTTCCCTGCATTGCTTATGACATTATGACCTGTCAGAGAGAAAAAAATAGAAAAGAGAAAAAAAGAAATAGGAAAAAGCAGAACATAGAAATGTGATTAGAAGTGGGAGAGACTAGTGGACAACTCCCTGATGATAGCTGTGCACTCGCTGCCTGAAATCTTTCAGTCTAGGGAAATATTAGGGTCAAATTACATATTTAGTACAATACAAATCCCTTTAATGAGGCTGTCTTGTGGCAGATCTTCAAACACAAACATGAAATGGCAATAAAATAAACTTAGTTTAAGTTTTAACCCAAGGACCATACAAACAGTAAAAAATAGGCTTGTAACAAAAGAACTGGCATCTCAAAAGTAATTTTCAAGGAAATTTAACAAAACTTCATTAATGGAGTGCCCTTCAGTTTATAAATTATCTTGAACCTTTCTGTAAGTTCCATACAGGGGCTTTTGCCTGTATAAATAAGTCATTGTCACTGCAAAAAAGAAAATGTAATTCTGTAGTATCGAAGTCAGAGGAAAAATTAACCATCAAGTAGCTTGGCAAAAGACTCAAATGACAATCTTGGTTCATCATGGTTTCCACTTTTCCTGCAAATAAGCCTAAATGGTACTAAATAAGCTTAAATGGTATGGATGATATTTGGTAGGACTGGTAAGGCTGATAGATTCGTAGCAAGTGATGTTTATGCTTGAGCTACCAACTTTATGCTCCAACTCACGATACACTGATCAAGAAAAACATAGTGTAATAAGATGTTGCTTTCTGAGAAAAATCTAATTTTAGGGTATTATTTCAGTAAATACCTGTTTCTTCAGGGATCTTCTTCACTGGTGTAAGTAAAACTGATATGCTGCTTTTCTGGGATAAAGTTTTTCTAATCACTTATTACTCAAAGGAGATTATGTTTATGTTGAAAAAGAAGCATCATCGATTATGATTTCAAAGGCAACATTAAATCTTATGAAAAAGCAGCAAGAACTCTAAAAATACAAAGGAAATTACTTAAAATAATTTATCCTATAATGATGTTAAATACTTCACTGTTTTAAATTACTGGGTGTAATGCAGGGATATATGGAGAGGCAGGAGTGAGATCTGTGACAGCAGCAGATGAAATGAGGCTGTGAACTGCAACACCAGATGCACAAGAAGCTGAGTTCAGAGGCATTGAGCAGCCCCAGTGACACCCCCTTCCTTGGATTCCTCACACTACTCAGACTCATGATCAGGGTCAAATCCCTGTGCTTCCAGGACATGATCCTTTCCATTCCACCTGCTTCCACATCAGTGACTGGCTGAGGTATAGTACTGGTTCATAAGGACATGGACACTGTGCTTTGCCTGTGGGCTGTGTATGCAGTGGTTCACACCAAGGCCTCAGGACCAGCCCTGCCCCATGGGTTACTCCTTCAGACATCTGTAGTTTCTAGGGTAGCATCCCTATGCCTTGATCCCCACTTTAATATTTTGTATCTCATTGAGGCTGGACACAAAATGCACAGAAATGCATCATGGAAAGTACCATCATACTGCAGCTAATGCAAAAGTTGTCAGTACCTCACATAGTCTTAGGTAATGAGTCAGATTCTGCTTTCACAGTGATGCAAACCTACTGAACTAGATGCCAGACTAGTCATTAAAATTTGTGTTAGAAACATTCATTCTTATCACAAACTGTGCTAAGAATAATTTCATTAACTTTTTTATTCACAAAATTTATTAGATTTAACATTAAGAGTCTAAGAAATACCCCACAATTAATGTGTCTTGCTTCAGCTGTCTCCTGAATTTGTGCATTTTCGTTTAAAAACTAGATTCAGTTTTTGAATAAAGCTAAGCTAAATGATACTGAACCCTATCAGGTTCAGGTCAGTGCAGAAATAGTTGAAGGATAAAATGACCTTTCTTAATTAATCATCTTTAACTGTCATGGGGGAAGGTCTGTTATTTTTCACCATGAATTAAAGACAAATGATCACTGAATGGCTTCTCCTTTTAAATGTATTTTCTAAGCAGTAAATATTCCCTACTTTTCATGCTGATCATGCTATAGGACAGTATTTTGCTCTAAGACATCTGGATTCAAATCTGCTGTCTAGATTCAGATTAAAAATTTTCCTCACACATACCAACAAAGAAATAGTCATTGACCTGAGCAGAATCAGAAGTACAGATCCATACAGAAGTGTTAAATCCCTGCAAATAAACTGAATTTGTATTTATTTTAAAGGCTGATATTCCCTTGAATGACAATGAGGAGCTAATCTGCTAGAAGGGCACAACAGTGATTTAAACGTAATAAGAAACTGGTTAAAGGATTATAGACAAAGAACAATCCCTGTATTAGTGGAATGTAGTGTATCCAAACAGCTTTGGATAAGGTCACTTCCCCTCAAATTACCGCTGCAGTTCAGCCACAGATTTAAGCCTGCATAAATTAGGCTCTGGAGATTTATTCCCAATAAATCTTGCCTAAATTCTTTTCAAGGACAGGCGTGAAGGACAAAGAAAACACATTAATTAAGGCTGAATGCAAGGAAACTCAGGGATTCACTTTGGCTATATCTACATTAGCATATTAATTTTGTTCTGGAGTGGGTTTTTGAAACTAATCCCCAGCTGACACTTGTTCCTGTAATTCAGTTCTTCCCACTCAGGCTGAGCCTGGAGGCTGCCTTACGGCTGAAGCTGAGCTGGGGATATGATACACTTCAGAGTGCACATCATGTGCTGCAGCAGCAGGTGGATGTCCAGTGCCTCCAGCAGACTGAGTGGGGTTAGGGCAAAACTGCTGGAAATGTGTTTATTATGGAATTTGGGTCCCCAGAATTAGCTGTGTGGTTTGACCAACCAGCTCCCCTCATGTGGTGCTACTTGGTCCCATAACACAGCAAAAATGCAGCTCTGTCCTGAAGGCAGGATGAAAATCATCTTCTTAGAGCAGCAATCACAGGCTAAATAATTGGTTGAATTTGGGCCAAAGTTAGGTCTCTTGCTGTAAATACGGGGACATTTTATACCAAGTAGAATAAATGGAAGAGGTTTGGTGTGCTTGGTGTGAACAAGTATTAAGTCACTCACTCAAGCAGCAGCTGTTTACAGCTGACATTTCAGCGGCCTGAGTATCCCTTCTCACTGGCTTTGCTCAGGGTAATGAGTGTTACATTTGGCAGTGGATCTGCCCTAGCACCTCCTTTTCTGCGTCTAAGGACAAATAGTGAAAAAACATTTGAAAAATAAAGAAGCACTTGCACAAATAATTTGCAACTTCCTTATTCAATCGATGACACTATTATTTGACATGTGAATAATAATAGCCACTTTAGCTCATTCTAGTCTTTCATAATAAATGCAGTTGCATAATAATAGTAATCTTAGAGATTTGAAGTGTAGTTTAGTAGGGAATTCATAAGAACAACAGATTTGAACAGGTCTTGACTGACTCCTTTGATTTATCATCCCTGAAATTTGCTTAAGAGTTTGTGCTAAAGAAATACAGGTAAATGGGAGCAAAATGGTGTTTAACTTCTTGCTTTGCTAGATTCCCTTTTACTCAAAAGCTGCTACAAGTCAGAGCCTTTTATATTGAATTTTATTACTCACATAAAATATAATATATTAATAAACCCAGACACTGGTGTTGCCTGGGAGAGAGTTCATTTTCTTCTTAGTCAGTGGTACAGTGCCGTGTTCAGGATCCAGTGTGATAATTGTGTTGATAACACACTCATGTTTTGATCGTTGCTATGTGGTGCTTACCCTGAGTCAAGGACTTTCCAGTGTCTCACACTCTGCCAGCGAGCAGGTGCACAGGCTGATCCAAACTGGGAAAAGAACCATAGAATGTTGTTTTCAGTCCATAAACTGGAGCAAGTTGGTCAGGTCCTGCTAATTGCTGCTCAGTAATGGGCTGGGTGTTGGTCTGTGGATGGTAGGAAATTAAATTATGCATCACTTGTTTCTCTTGGGTTTTATTACTTTCTCTCTTTTTAAATAAAAAAAATGAGATTATTGTTATTATTCTAATTAGTATTTTTAGTGTATTTGGGTTTGTTTCAGTCATTAAACTGTTCTTATCTCATCCCACGAGGTTTGCTTTTTTTCCCCCAATTTTTTTCCCCATCGGGGGTAGGGGAGTGCTTAGTTGCTGGCTGGGACTGAATCACAACAATATTGTTTACTTCAAACTCATAATAGCTAGCAAAAAGGTTTGTTCTCTGAAAATTAATAATCAGCTGAAGCTGTGGGTTTGCTTGTTAAAAAAAGTCCAGTAGTTTCCCTCTTTCACATGAAACACACAAATGCTGTAAAGATGTTTAGAAATAACAAACAGAATTGAAAATTATTGAAATTAAATTCTTTGTCAGCTGTATAAATAGAGGTCCAGAAAGGACCTTGTAGGTCAGTGTATTGCAGGCAATCATTGTAGAAAGATAAGGTGCAGCCCCCTCAGTGTCATGGAGCAGCAGGAATTTCATCATTGTTATTGAAGCACTACTTCCTTGAAAACATCCAATTTTATTTGCCTTTTGATAAGTCCATTGTCCTAAGAGAATGGTGAGTAAAAAAACCGCAACACTTTTAACCTTGGAGAACACCTAAAGAATCTAAATAGGATGTGTTAAATCAGTTCTGTGATTCTCTACCTAGACTTTGACATTTCTGGTTTGATATGGTTATTTTCCTTACTGGTATTTTGTAGGTGGAGAGCTGTTTCTGTTTATTTGTGTGCGTGGGTACCTATGCATGCCCTTATTCTTCAGTTCAGGAAAACAGAAAGGTTTCAGATCAAATTTGGAGCTGTGACAAAAATACGTTTATAGGTTTCTAGATAGTATAAAATCAAATTCATGTTAAAAAAAAAACTTTAAAAAATAAAACTGATTAACCAATAAAAACAGAGGTCTGACTGGATTTCCAAGATCGTTATCTAGAACTCAATTCCTAAGTGAAAAGTTCACTGAGTACTTAACCTTACTTGGCAGCTGCTCACCAGGCTAGACATCACCTGCGTAATTTCCCTATTAATTAATAAAGAAATTCTGTGTTTTTCTGACTTTAGTTTTAAAAATATGAGACTAGAGAATCAAAATTTGATCAGTTCAGGCTGCCAAGCTGCTAATTGTAAGGTGCTCTTTCATATGATTCTTTCAAATTCTCACATCATGTTGATTTTCCTTCTCAAGGAATTTAAACATTGACCCATGATGAGCATTCTTTGGGTCTGCACAAAGGGCACAAATCAGCAGCAATGGATGCTGCTCTTTATATTCCACCTCATTACTCATATGAGTCAATCTAACAGGTAAAATGGGTGAAAAAAACAAACACTTTCAAGATGCTTATTTAAAAGCACTTTCCAGTAATTTGTATGAATGGGGGTGTTTTCTTAAAGTACACTCACTTGTACAAGGCCATGTTCTGCTGCTCATTCTACTCCTTCTATAGGAATCAGTCATTAAAAATAAGGTCACCAAATAAAGCTGCTTTTAAAGTTCTTGCTCACTTTGGCAGAAAAGCAAATTCTGATCAAGCTCTGCACTTACTTAAGAGATCGATATACACTATTGAAATTTTAATGATAAGGCATTTTTTAAATGCTCAGAAATTACCTGATTTATGTGCCTTCTCTCAGGAATCCAAGCTCCATAAGTAAACAACAATGATGAATTTAAGTGCTCTAAAATGGCCTCCAGAGGTCAACTCTCTCTGCTGACTACCACGGAAAACTCAACTACTCACCCAAGTCGGAGCTCTACAGCACCTGACAGTATGCCACTGTCCCGAGAAGTAAAAACATAAATAGAAATAAGACCCTCCCAAGATCCCATAGGTTAAAACCCCTGATCAACCCAATTGCTCTCCCATATGTCAAAAGTCAGTGACAGTTTCTCGTAAACACACAGTCTATTGGAAAGATGACACACAAGTTATAATTAGAGCATGTTACATGGATGGGTTCCAGACCACTTACCTACTCCCTGTGCTTGTCTCCTGTAATGTGATGTCTGAAGATTAATGGGGTTATCTTTCAGATTATTTACCAGCATAATATATTTCTGGAGGACAGCTCCAGAATGATTCATTTTTATAACTGTGAGAACTCCATTTTCCTGTCAGTGTATTTATAAAAGGAATTGTCTTTACATTTTTCAGTCTGTCCTAGCAGAGCTATGCCAGGGTATGCATATTTTTCATTTCACAAAATCTCCAGTGAAGTGTTTGAAGCACTAAAACAAAACCGGTAAAAATTCCCCCAAGAAAATTTGTGATTAGCTCATATTTTTCTTTTTTGTTTTCTTAATTATGCATTTTCTATTTTATTCAAGCAAAACATTTGCATGTGTAAACATTGCCGTATGAGTGTCTAACTCCAGTGTTTGCTTGTGCTGCCAGTTCACCTACTGAAGGCCTGTGAGCAGGTGTGGGATTGCTACTCCTGAGTTCAGCGGTTTCAGTAGCAGTTTGCAGAAGACACTGGACCTTGTTTCTTCTTATTACTAGTGCTGCCTTCTGACACCACTGGTTTAGCTGACTTTCACCTACCCAACAGTTTCACCTACCCAGCTGAAAGCAAAATTGGACCAAAGGTGGTGTTTTGATGACTTTCTTCCTCATCACATCATCTTCTTATGTTGTAAAGGGTTACAGTTTTTAAGGACTCACTCCTAATTTTCCTCTGTGGCTTCCAGTCTCTGCTGCAACACACCAACTTCAGCTTGATCTCATCTTGATCTCATCTTGATAATTGTTTTGCTCACCCTGTCTTGTTAGGATATAATAATTGCATTACTATTATGCTGATGCTGATCCTTTGTGCTGCTTAATAAAAGTCAAAGTATTCCCCTCAGACTGGAAAAGACGACTTTCTTATCTGAAATTCAAATATAATGATCATGCTAACACACCTAGTGGTTTAGGTGCACTTCAGAAAACTGTGGCACCAGGGAGGTAATTCCTCAAAGAAGCTGCATAAGCAGGAGTAGTTGTTCTCCTAAAACAGAACATTTGTTCTTTCTTCTCAAAGTTTTGTCTCCATTTGTTAAACTTAAATAATAACTCAACTGAAAAAAGGTCATTGTTGGGTTTGGGTTTTTTTTGGTTTGGGTTTTTTTTTTGAGTAAGCTTCTTTTCCTTGCATAAAAGGGCTCACAAGGTTTGCAGGCATTCCTCAGCCTAAAAAATGCCAGCAGTCCATCATAGGATTGTAGTTTCTGGCACCTAAAAACACATTAATTCCAATGGTAAATTCAAAAGAAGTTGAAAATACAACGGATCTGTGATGCCTGAAGTTTAGTGAACCTGTTTTAATCAAAGCACTTGTGGCTGCCTTCTTGCTAGAAGTGGTCTGTCAAGATCTGTCAAGACAGCTCTTGATTTGTTTGCGTGGTAGGGAGTGATTTGAGAACCAGGCAATTGGAAAGGATATTTTTTGAAGATGTACTTGACTTCATTTATAATCTTTGAAGAGGGCACGTAAGACAAATGCATAACCACTGAGGAAATACTAATTACACCTAGTAATGTCTATGTAATTTAGAAACTTGGCCTCTTTAAATTCTGCTGATCTCCAAGCAAGTGATTGCACTGTCTGTAGTGGGGTCTTGGATCAGTTATCTAAGTAAGCATCTTCCCCTCCCTCTCTTGTGTCATGATACAGCAATCAGCAGGCCTGCTCCCAGAGAGCTGCTTGCACAGAGACACTTGCTTTAGCAAGCAGGGTGCCATTGCCTATACATTCCAACTAGGAGTACTTGAATTTGTACTTGAGAAGTACAGAAGTCTTTTGCCCTGAGAGTTTCTTAATCTCTTAATTTGACTTCTCTGGTAAACTGCAGGGGGGAGCATGGGAAGTATCCTTAAAACCATTTTACTGAGCCCGTCGTAAAAAGGTTCTTTATGGAGCAGGGGGAGAAGTGGGAAGGGGAAAGAGGAAGAGGAGAGGAAAAGGAAAGGGAAAAGAAGGCTGGAGAGAGATTTTATAAGGATCAGTTTACTGCATTTAAAGTTGGTCACTATGAGCCCTCTCTTCAATCTCACTTCCTGTGGAGAGGATATGATTTGATTGATCTGTAAAATCTGTAACCACCTATTATATTATAATATTTATTATTTAAGAAATAATAATATTATTTAAGAAATGCTTATTATATGAGTTATTTCTGCTCTGGGTCATAGATACCAGAAATGTCCCTTTCTGCTCTTGCTTTTCAAAGCGTGATGCTTTCTGCAGTGATTAATTCAATTAAATTTCTTTGCATATCTAAAGAAGAAAGTTGAAAATATGTAGCTTATATATCCTGCCACCAGATATTTTTAGAGTTCTGCACATTTTAGTTATCTGCTAGAGACATGAAAAAGGCATGATAACATTTTTTTGTTATTTACTTAGTTGAATGTTCCTGCAGATCTTGCATGATCAAAAATTGTGCAGCACTTTTGAAGAAGGTTTGTACAATTATTCGTAGGAGATAAGGTCATTATCTTCACAGTCACATGAAAAAAAGTGATAATGCATTTCTTCTTTATTAATTATCCATTTCTTTAAAATCTCTGAGATGGTGCCATACACTTTTGTATGATTTAGTTTAAAAAGGCCTACCGAGCAAATCTCACTCTCTAGCCTGACTGAAAGATGTGTTTGATATTCCATATTGACTCAATTTATTTTGAAAAGTGTCTGGTCCAATAATGCGAAGTTCCATTGTTACACAGGGGAGCAGAACAAACATTTTTTCTGGTATTTGGCAGCCCAACATTTGGTCTCCCTGGGGCTTGGGTGAGGGAAGGAAGGGAGAGGCTCAGCTATAAAGCTAGCATAGCTATTTTCCCCCACACCTGAAGATTGGGCTCCATGTTAACTGGTACCATAAATGTGCCCTCCTTGGCTAGATGTGAGAAAGAAGGGTATGAAGAAAGAGAAAAGAGGGGTATGTAGATAGAGAGGTAGAAGTAGCCTAGCTTCTAGAGACAGAGGAGCAGCTACTAGTGATTTTCCTTGTGAGGCTTACAAAGATCCACTTCAGGACCAGCAGAAGCATTCCTGGTGAATAGGAGAGGGAAAGGGAGATCCTTGCAGGAACTGTAGTGATGACCACTTTTAAAAATGGATTAAATGGATATACAGGGTTGAATATAGAGTGAATTTGATATACAGTGAATATACAGTGAATTTCAGGGTTTTTTGTCAGGCTTCTTTCTAGAAACTTGGGGAAATAAGCTGTTATCGGTGCTCTTTAATTGGCAGAACTGTTCCTAGGGAGTATATTTTTAACCAAATACAGTTCCCTTGTTTACACATTCACACAAATGCTGTGTTTTTGTCTACACTGAACCATACTCTGAGCCTGTGCAACACACGATGAAGCATACAATGATATATGGGGTTTTAATATCCTCATTTACTACACAGGAGCAAGCTGTGAGAATCAAATAATCCGAACACCCAGCATGTCAGGAAAAGTCCCCAAACTAATATGATATCAGTATGTTCTTCACCTGTTAATTTCAGATATATCTTGTTTTTACAACATGATGAAGGAACTCTGTGGCGGATGTGGTTTTCTACAGCTTGCTAACTTTGGAGTCAATTCTGTTTTTCATCTCAGAACTCCCAGGGCCACAGGCCTGCTTTATTTTCTCTTGAAGCCAGAGCTGGCTCAAGTGTTAACTACAGATCAATAGGCTATTTGAACAGTTGTAGGTCTGATAAATAGATAGATAGATAGATAGATAGATAGATAGATAGATAGATAGATAGATGGATGACTTCTATATTTAACATATAGTATAATAAAGTATCCTGGGCCTTCAAAAAGCATAGAGACAGAAGGCTGTACTTCCTTCTACTGTTTTGTCTATCTCAGTTTGAAACTTGACTCATATTTTTATCTATGTGACATTCTGCAAACATTCTTTAAGTATACATATGCATTATGTGAGTCAAGACAACTACTGTCAATACTCATAGACAAAGCATTTCTCTCTGGAAATGTATTCCTGCTATATTTTAGCAGTGAACATTTTGCTATCACTTTCAAACACAGATGGGATCTTGACTGCTTGCTTTCTACCAAGCAGCAAATATAAAGGAAGACTAGATGGTAATGATACAGAATTTACCTGCTATTGGATCCTTTCTCCTTTCTCTGTATATTTGTCATCATGAAAACATGGCTGAAAAGCAATTCCTAAATCATATCCCTGATAAAGTTTTCATTATTTCTCTTGGTGGGTTCTGCCTACTGCAGATCAAATCAGCAAGAAAAAGGGGTCCTACCACGTACTCTTTAACAGAGTACACATAGTGGCTGTTTCTCTGGTAGCATTGGCTGACTTTCATCTTCAACAGTGGAAGTTTTTGTATAAAAAGAGTATTTTGAAAAAAATCTTTACAATATGTAACCAATTAATATGCAACTGGTTAATTGCAGCACTGTGAAAGGTGAAATGCAGGGATAATGCTGTTTTCTACAGAGGTTTATGGAAAGAAATTGGCTTTTGTAGAGGTTTGTTCTATAAGGAGCAGCAGGATTCTAATTCAAGATTGGAGTAGTCTCATATGGTTTTAATTAGCTTTTAATTTAGTCTTGTTTATAACTCAAAATACCTGCAGCAACCTGCTTTGTCCCCACAGAGGTTTATTCTTTGGTGTTTAAAACCTTTATTCATTGAAGTGAACATTTTGGAAGCAGTCAGAGGGTTTATCAAACTCCCAAGCACATTAGAAGACTACACACTCATTCAA